CTTCTTCTTCTTCTTCTTCTTCTTCTTCTTCTTCTTCTTCTTCTTCTCCTCTCTTTTTGAATAATATGTTGAGTGCTAAATGTTCATTTTGAAGACATCTGTGTTAAGTTCCAAGAGGAAGGCAGGCCTTTTAAAGAAGATAAATGGGGCCCCTATTAAATGAGCATTGAAAATCTATCCCAGAGGCTTTAGTGGCTTTCAGATTGACTACCAAAAAAAAAAAAAAACCACACACACACACACACACAAGATGAGGCTTGTTAATTTATACAGAGCAGAACCATTCATTTCTGAGTGGGCCTTTTGTAGGAACTGTTTACAAATACCTGATATGAGTTTGCAATTAATTACCTTTCTCCTGCCAAGCCCCAAGGCTGCTTAATAAGGATATAGTACATATCTTGGGAAAGGGTCGTAATGTCTCTTGGTTTGTCTCTAGGAGACATAGCCGACTCTGAGAAGAGCAGATTATTGAATGGCTGTAAAGGGATGTAACTCTTATGGAAAGCAAGCTGTGCTGTGTTCATTGTCTTTTACTGAGGACAAAAAATCCTCCTTTAAGCTGGAGCTCCCCCCAAACTGGCAAGGCCACTGACATTGGAAGGCAGATGGAAGACACGGTACAGAGGGAGAGCCCTGGCTCAGGAGTCAATAGATCTGGGTTCAAATCCCACCCCCGGTACTTATTAACTGTGTGACCTTGGGCAAATCACTTCACTTTCCTAGGCCTTGGTTTAAACTATAGAATAAGGGAGTTGGATTAAATGGCCTCTAAAGTCCTTTGCAGCTTCGGAGGTTCAATCCTGTAAAGACTTTCACACTTCATAGTACAGTTAATTTATAGTATGTTTAATTTATACATCACTTTCCTTGCAATAGCCTTAGGTAATAGGTAGTGAAAATATGATTATACCCATTTTATAGATGAGGAAATAGGGCCCAAAGGGATTAAGTGAATTGACTCAGGTTAGTAACCAACTCAAGATTTGAACCCAAGACATGATAGATCCCCCTTAAATTGACAGAAAAGTGTTATTATACTTAGAGGCACTGAGCTGTGATGATTTAAAGTTCTCTATCTCAGTCTCTGTATCTCTCTTTCTGTCTTTCTCTGTCTGTCTCTCCCTCTGTCTCTCTGTCTCTGTGTCTCTGTCTCTCTTTCACACACACACACACACACACACACACACACACACACACACTTTGCAATCATCTTTTCTATCTCCAAAGTCCAATATTGTCTACACTTTAGGGCACTCTAAATGGAGCTAACTGTGAAGCATGAAGACCCAAAAGCCTCCAAAATGAAATTTAGTAATTATTCATAAAGCTGACATGGCTATAGTAATTTTTAGCTTTAACAGCACCTTTATCTCATTTAATTCTCAAAATGGTGCTGTGTGGTAAGCAATTACAACTCTTATTCAGGCACATTTTACAGGTGAAGAACCCAAGGTGATTTGCCTAAGGTCACAAAGACAGTGGTTGATCAGACACTTAAACCAACATTTTCTGATTCTAGCATTCTTTCTATTACATTTCTCCTTTGGAGTATCAGTTTTCCTATCTGCAAAATGGGGGGTGGGCAAGTGTTTGCTCAAAGTGTTGAGCAAAGGGGGAAAAAAAAGTTGCTTGTAATATTCATAGAATCATAGAATTTGAGCTGGAAGGAGTCTTAAAGGTTATCCAGTCCAATAACCTCATTTTACAAATGAAGAAATGGAGGTTCAGTACAGTTAAGGGATTTGCTATTTGAATTCAGGTCGTCTGAATACAAATTCAGTGAATTTCTCCCCGTACCATGCTCTTTCTGTGGGGTTAGATTTGAACAAAATTTATCTGAATCAATGATTTGCTTGTTTTGTGTTTATTTATTTTGCCTTTTTTTTTTTGTGGTGAGGTGATCAGGGTTAAGTGACTTGCCCAGGGTCACACAGCTAGTCAGTGTTAAGTGTCTGAGTCTGGATTTGAACTCAGGTCTTCCTGACTCCAAGGCCAGAGCTCTATTCACTGTGTTACCTGGCTGCCCCCTTGCGTGTGTTTTTTTTTTTTAATGTAATATGCAACCACTGAAAATTTTCAAACATGGTACAATAGGTATTAGGCAGTTTTTAAAAATCATTTTAAAATGTTAGTCACAAAGAGGGTTTGAAATTAAATATTCCATTATTGCAAAAAATATGAAAATCCCACATCTATTCCACCACTGCCCCATTTTATAAAGGAACCATCTATAAAAGTGAAATATTTTGTTCAAGTTCACACAGCAAGTTAATAGCAGAGTTGAGGATAGAGAAGAAATGAGAAATGTTTTGAGAAATCCATATCAGTGTGTAGATGTCAGTGTGTAGATGCCAGCCCACCTTATGCAAAGGCCACATGCCAACATCTGTTGGCTTTCCATGGATAAATACTAAACTGAGTGCATTAGAAAAAAAATTGCACATTTTGCCAAGTTACTTTAACATGATTTTGCATTTTCTTTTGAAGAGACACTTGTCCCCTGAAGAGTTCCAGGAAGTCTTTGGGATGACCACAGAAGAATTTGATCGCCTGGCTCTTTGGAAAAGGAATGAATTAAAGAAGAAGGCATTGCTTTTCTAACCTCTCCTAGAGGGGGAAAAAAAAATGTGCTTGTTCAGTGAAAGCAAAACAAAAGAAAAGAAAAAACACAACCTAAAGTAGTGTTCCAGAACTATTGCATACACTTGCTACCGCACCATTCTCCTACTTCTGTGTGTTCATGTTGGGGGGTGGGGGGTAGTGATCAAAGGAGGAGTTTAGCTCATAGGATTTTGGAACAGAGGCCATTTGGGAATCTGGCTCTGGCTTGGAGATTAGCCACTGACTCTACTCCTCAGATGGTTAAAAGGAAAAAAAAATGAAAGAAAGAAAATAGCCTTAAGTCACCCGTTTCTCTGTGTAAGTTAACATGAAAGGGATGTTTAAAGGGGAGGGAGAGGATAAGGGAAGGGTGAAACAGCTGTGGTGAGAGAAATGATAGCTCATTTGTTGGCTTTTGAGAAAGTGTGTTAAAATGGCAGAAGTAGTGAGGAAGCCTTGAATGCCACCTTTTAGATAAGGGAAGACAGACAAACTTTCCAACATCAAAGGGAATGACATTTTTAGTTAAGAATCTAGGCTGAAGAGAGGCAGATTAGTGAAGGGTTGCTTTTTAGGGGAAAAGATAAATTTCCCCCTGAAATTGAAAGAAAGTCTTTGACCAGTTATATTTGGAGGCATTGAGCTATGATGGTTTGAAAGTGTCTCACACACACACACACACACACACACACACACACACACACACACACACCTCTCAATGGTATCTTTAATTATACAAGAGTTTTTATTTTATTAAAAAAAAGTCTATTGACACATGACTTATTATAGCATACTAAACAATAAAATGACCTATATAAAGAGCTTAATTTTAATGTCCCATTCAACAGAAATCCTGAAGCCTTATACCTACTGGGTTCATAGCTGCGTAGTTTCTGTTATTGCAATGTTGCTAACCTATACATACATATATATATATATATATATAAAAATATACATATATATTATATACAACTTTTCTACACTTCCCCCAGGTGATGTGAATGGCATCCCTCTGTAAAAGAATGCTATTTGTACATAATTATTATAAAGGCACCACTCTTTCCTCTCCTTCTCTGGCTTCATCTCGTGAGCCTGATAAAGATAACTTAGTCTTCTGACAGCAAAATCTTGGGACTGTAGGAGCTCAGCAAATGAATAAATAAATAGACTAGAAAGCCTAGCTCTCCCTGTGGACAAATTGAAAAAAATAAATAAACCCAGGCCAAATACCTGCATGTTCCTGAACAAACTGGATGCCTGCATAATCACAATGTACAGGGGGAAGAGGGGATGCTTTGCTTTTGCAAGGCAAAGCTATTAAAATGCTTCATAGGTTTTGGATGTAAGCATTAGGTTCCTGATGCAATGAAGACTGTAAAATTACTGACACCGTGTGGGAAGAAGTCTAGGGTGGTGAGAGGGTTGGAAATACAGCAAATCAATAGTTTTACATAATTCTAAAAACACATTATCCAAAGTATATTTTCCAGTTCTCTGTTGTGGTCTGCATTTTTCTTGTCTGGAATGTCTGTGTTCCTAGTCTACATTCACTCTATATCTTTGAGCAGTTCCTTAAAGTAACTGCTCACAATGTGCACTGCTTCAAACTAATTCAACATGTCCAGGGATGGAGGCCTTGTAGTAGTCAACTTTATGTCTTTGAATTAGCTGGTGAGAACGGAGTGGTCAGAAAGGAGCTATTTTCTCCTCAACTCAGAGCTCTGTCTGATCCTACCGACACCTGGGAAAATAAAGTCATTTTTGCTCAATAAAGTAAAAAGCGTGTGATATAAGTGCGTATAATTCCAAACGGTATGAGTCTGCTTCATTGGATGTCCCCTCTGTTGAGGTTTCTGTGGAAAAGATCAGGAGTCTGGCTTTCCTGCTGAGTAAGGATACAACCTATTCTGAACCAATTTAGATTAACCAACTCTATCCAATAAGTATGCATTCAGTATCTATTAACTACAAGGTCCTGAGTTTACAATCTAGTCAGAAAATCGAATTAGCTAATGCCACCTTTCATATTGCCTGTGGATTGTGGTCTCCTAGGTTTTGCCATCCTTGTTAGGCATTTATGGTATCTGTTCACCTTCCAGGTTCTATCTGAAGATGAGAGGCAACATGGTGGACATATAAATGGGATTGCAAATAGAGAAACCTAGGGAGTCCCGGCAATACTTTTTGCCATCAATCAGCTATGTGGTAGACTTGAGCCAATTACCTCCTCCCTCTAGGCCTCAGTTTATCCATCTGTAAAATGAGAGAATTGGGAAAAATAATCCTTAAGGTCCCCTCCAGTTCCACCATTTTATATCATAAGGTCCCCTCCAGCTCTAATATTCTACGTTATTAACATTTTTATACTCCAAGTCCTATTCCAACTTTGACAATCCATGTTCTCAGGTCTTCTAATATTCTATATTTTAATAGCTGTTCCAGCTTTATGTCTTTTTTTCTACGTCCTAAGGCCCCTCCAGTGATCATAGTCTACATTCCAAGAGTTCTTCCAGCTCTCACGTTTTGTGATTCTGTTCTAAATCTACAACTTCTAATAATCTTATTTCAATTGCATTGAAAACAAAACAAAAGAGGTGCCCATGTTCACATCCCTGTGAAACACTTTCCTATGCTGATGAGAAAGTCTTAGTCAAATTTGCTGGATTGCCACTTCTTCATAATCTTCCCGAATGTCCTGACACTCCAGGCAGTATAAAACCAGCACCATTTCCTTTCCCCTGTTCCCATCCTGCTACCTGTGTCAGAGTGGCTTTGGTTTTATGGAAATAGTCTAGAGCTTATTATTAGCCTGTTTTGTGTCATGGACCCCTTTTGGAGTCTTTTGACTCCAAATCAAGTGTTCTTTCCATTATGCCCCACCCAGAGTTCTCCAGTAATGAGACTTGAACCTATATGCATTTGTTCACTAATTGTTTATTAAACTACTATGTGCAAGGCAGCATGGCATAGGCTGGTCATGATGCCAGGAAGAACTGAGTTCAAATCTCAACTCTGGCATATAGTGGCTTTGTGACCCTGGGCAAATCATTTAATTGCCCAGTGTTCTAGGCAACTCTTTTTCTCTAGTCCAATCCTCTCTTTTTTTTATTCTTTCAAAATTAATTTTATGTTCAAAGATCTATCTTTTACTCTCATTTCCCTTCCTTACCCCTTCACTGAGAAAATAAGAAAAACAAAACACCTGTTAGTAACATACATAGCCAAGCAAAACAAATTCTCACATTAGTCATGATACACACAGACACAAATATATATATATATACATGTATATCGTATATATATATATATATATATACACACACCATATATATGTGTATGTACTCTGAATCCATCATCTCTCTGCCAAGAGGTAGACAGCCTATTTTATCATTACTCCTCTGACATTATGGTTGGTCATTATGCTTGTTGATCAGAGTTCCCAAGTCTTTCTAAATTGTTTGCCTTTACAATATCATTTTTCCTATTTACTTGTTCTTCTGATTCCATTTACCTCACTCTGCATCAGTTCATATAAGTCTTTAGGTTTCTCTGGAACTGCACCCTTCATCATTTCTTACAGCATAATAGTATTGCTAGGCCTTTCACTAAAGACTGTAAGTTCTATAGAAGATGCCAACCTGTGGTTCGCTAATGAAATTACAATTCCAGTTCCTATCCCTGACCCTCTTCCTTTTTATTACGTGCCAAAATGATGGGGGTTCAAAGACAAAAAGAAGATTGTCCCTGTTATCACTGAGCTTACATTCTTCTAGGAGGAGCTGCACACATGCAGTTAAATCAATGCAACATATAAAAGCACTTTGGGGAGAGGGAAGATTAGGAAAAGTGGGGAGAACTTGAGCTATCTTGGAGGGAACTAGCGATTGCAAGAAGTGGAAATGAGGAGAGCATGTTTTTCTGGCATAAAGGATAGTCTGTGAAGAGGCAAAGACGTGGGGTGATGGACTACTGTGCAGTACAAGGGAAAAAAAAAACAAACCATGCATACCAACACCTTGGCTCACACCCGAGGGTTTCTCAGAGTATCAGGGCACTCATCAGATTCTAACCCAGAATTTCATCAATTAATCCTAAGGCATGTTAATCAGTAGGAAATCCTGACATATGACAATCAATGAGTTTTTGATGAAGCACTTGCTGCTGGGGATGGAGGCAGAGAGAGCTGTACAGGGTAAGTCAAGAGTCCAGCCCTGCCCTCAAAGAGCTTAGAAATGTGCCACGTGAATCAGGATTCTCCCCATGTCCAAGACTGGATACACGCATACACAGTCACTAAATGCAGTCAGAACAGAAAACTTTGGATTATATGGTTGCTAAGGTCATTTTCATCTCTACAATTCTATGGTTCCATGTTCATCTCCATAATCTATTACCGACACAAGCTGGTTTGTTGAATTGTAGACTGTTAGAGCTAAAAGTGGCTTTTGAACATAAAATGCCAGAGCTGGAAGGGAACTAAAAGCCATCTAATCCAGTCCCTTCCTTTTACAGTTGGGGGAAACTAAGGCCCAGAGGAATGAAATGTGAATTCTGACTCAGATGTGACTTTTATAAGATCTCTGATGCCAGGGCTGGCTCACAACTTGTTCTGTATTGTTTTCCCTACTTCCACCCTACTTGCAACTTGGGTTCTGCCAACATATCACCTGTGTGACCTTGGGCAAGTGATGTCACCTCTCTGACCTCAGTTTCCTCATTAGTAAAATGAGGGAGGTTAGTTCCTTTCCACCTCTAGACCTATGATGTTATGACCATAGAGATAGTAACAGACCTAGAAATAAAACACAATTTTCTCAACTTTTAGTCCAATTTTTCCTTCTATTGCCCACAAGTCAGGGCTACTCTGGGGGAAAGTGATGAAATCAACTTGACCTTCCATGCCATCCATATCTGGCCTCATTTTTCCTTTCCATAGTGCCTGCCTGACCCTCCCAGGTACCCAGTGTCCTCTGAAAAAGCTTTGCTTTTAGCCAAGAAACAAATTTGTGTCATTCTAAAGTTATGTGATAGGTTTAAATCACTGACTTCCCTTCCCACACACACCTTGGCAGTTTGTATTTTAAGCGTTAGCTCTCTCACTGTGGAATGAAAGACTGAATCTGTTATCTCAATCAGGGAGGCAAAGTAAGGGAGCTGTGGGGCCAGGAAGGAAGCAGTCGCTCCCAATAACTCTAATGAGGTCATTGGTCTTCTCTTACTCTGAAGCTACCTGAAATAGGAGACGAAAAGAGAGAGAGAATGAGAACATCCAGCTGATATCTTACCCTAGCCCATTCTCCTATTCAGGTAGGGATTGAAATAGATGACCTCAGAGCTTCCTTGCAGTTCTGAGATTCAATGGCCCTCCTGCTGTTGCAAAGATCTGTGTGCAGAAAATAGGGAGAGCAAGAGAACCAGATGACCCTTCTTGGTGGCAAAGCAGTGAATTTCTAGGGAGTTTTGGCATGTGAGTGACTTTCCCTGTGTGTTTGGATTTGTATTCCTGTGTCTGTATTGATGGAATCTGGATGGTCCATGCTATGCTTTGGGCTGCCTGATATCTTGGGTTAAAGAACACAGAAGGGTCATGATGACTGTCCTCAACACCTTCTGAGCCATTGCCTGGTCTATTAGGCAGATGTAGACCAAAAGTCAAGGAACTCTGACAAACATTAGAGGAATTCAAGGCACCAGGAGGCAGGTTGGAGAGATTTGGGGAAGAGAGAAGGGAGGTCTTTCCAGGCACCTCCAAAATGCTGCCACTTGTCAGGTAACTGATTCTACCTGTCTACCCCTAGATGGGTCGGGGTCTGTCTCTACTTATTCTGTTCCTTTGGGGGCTATTTATACATCCAGACTGAGTTACCCTAATGCTGTCAGGCTGTTTTAAAGAATGAAGGATACTAGTTATTGTGATATAGTAGCTCTGAATCCATCACCCCCTTCTTCAAAAAGCTCCATTGGTTTCTCATTATTCACTTAATAAAATCAAGACTTTTTTCATTTGCAATTGATGACTTTCTATGATTTGGTCCCTAAGTAATCTTTTCTCACATCATTCTCTTTTCAATAATAACTAGCATTTACATAATGCTATTTCATTTTATTCTCACAGCAATCCTATGATATGCTATCATAATCTCCATATTGCATACCAGGAAACTGAGGCATAAGGAGGTTAAATGACTTGTCCAGGGCCTCACAACCAGTAAGTGCCTGAGGTCAGATTTGAACTCAGGTCTTCTTGACTCCAAGTTCGGTCCAGGACCTATTCATTCTTCGTTAAGATGTCTCATAATATTCCCTTCTCTCCCTTTTTTCTCATGTTGTCCTCTATATGTGAAAGGCAGCGAGGCATGATGGATCAGGTTCTAGACTTGGTCAGGAAGAATTTAAATTAACCCTCACCTCCAGTTCTAGTTAATTGTGTAATGCTGGATAAGTCACTTAGCCTCTCTTAGCCCATGTCCTCATCAGTAAAATGAGGATGATATTAACAAATGTAGTCTTTAAGAAGCATCTGGGTGATTCAGTGCATAGAACACCAGACTTGGAATCAGGAAGAGCTAAATTCAAATCCAGACTCAGACATTTGCAAGTTGTGTGGAACCCCCCCCCCCCAACCTCTGCTGCTCCAGTTTCCTCATCTGTAAAATGGAGACTAATAACACCTTATGGGGTTGCTGTGAGGATGAAATTAGATAGTATTTGCAAAGCATTTAGCAATCTTAAAGTTCTATGTGAATGCCAAATTATTGTTACTTACCTCACAGGGGTATTGTGAAATTCA